ATCCCGCCGCAGCAGCCTCAGGATCACGAGAGGTGCGCAGCCGAAAGCGATTGGAGAATGACGGAGTTGTTAGCTCAATCACTGTGCTTGCATTCCTAATTCTCGTTTCTGAGACACAGCATACATCAATGCCAAGCAGTCCAGCGTGAGTGCAAGAGCAGCTTGTCCTGCTTGCTTCAGAGTGCGGACATTGAAGGCGGCCAAATAGACTGGGTGTCGAGGCTTGAAGATTGCTTTGAAGATGCTTGAGGATGTCGGCGCCATTTGCCGAGCAGATACTGCACGCAAAACCGATTCATGACGAACGGAGTCGTCAGTTTTAAGTGTTGGCCCTAGAAGAAGAGGGTTGTTAATGGGGTGGGGAGGAGGAGGAAGAAAAAGTATTTGAAAGAGAAAGAAGGGAGGCGTCAGCAGTAGCCTGTTTTCACTTACCCGCCCTGCAGTATGCAGCAAGTAAGGTGACCCGGCTGATGGCACCACGCGACGGCCGATGTGGCATGGTTATAAGTGTCATGGTTGTACGTTGGCTGGGATGCTGTCAGGGCGCCCACACCTAGACAGGAGGACGACTAGAGTCCTCAATCAACGCCTTTGTTGGGGAATGCAAATACATCACTTCTAAGGAACAAGTCGCCACATGTTTCAACCCCCAATCTGGAGGGCCAGGAGACTGTGTTCGTCAGACCTCAACCACTGACCCACCTGGTATGAAAGACTCTGTGGGTGTCACAGGGACACTTTCCAGTATAGCTCAATGGATCGCTGAGGTGCGACATAGCATAGATCAACAGAACGGGAAAGTATGGTTTCAGCGCAAGATGCCCGTTGCCCAATTTGCCAAAGTGTACAGACATTGAAGACTGCAGCGTGTTTCGGGTCTTTTAATTTTAATAAGGGACTAGTAGGGTTTATTTTGCTGGGTGATAGATAGGACTTGGAACACTGGTTGGAGGACTGGCAGATAGGCTGACCGCTGTGCATCGTTCGATGGATGTGGATGGTGTATGGGCGAGTGCCGGTGAATCAAGAGCTACTTCCAAGTTTTCCAGGCCGAAGAAGGGGGTTTGGTTGAAGTACCCTACCTTGAGCTTTTGAGTCTATCCCACGTTGAGTCTGACTTACAAGGTAGCAGGAGGATGTAGGGTTTTGTTCGGAGACCCTTCTCTTAAGCTCCGACTCAAAATTAGGGACCACGAGACTAGTGCTTAGGTTTTTCCCAAGGTGCTCTTGTGGTCCTCTTTGGCCTTCCTGGCATGGATTGACCTAGAGGAACTGAGTTTCAGTCGGTACAGCCCACAGGATCATTGCATTACTGAAGCCCAATCACTCTGACAAGGTGACAGCGTTCGGCCGGGAGTTCAGCTGGCCTTCAACACAACCTTTAGGGGAACCTCATGAGTCCTAATATAGCGTTGATACCTTCAGATGGCATAGCAGCTAGACACCTGAAGTGTGTTACAGCTGAATGGTTCTTCTTATTGTTAGTAATAGTACTGGTGAAAGGAAGAAGGCCTTCACTGCGGAGTTATTTATTAGAAAAATGCCAACTGACTAGTTACAGACTATTGGACAGGAAATCAAAACTCTCATATGCATCTCGCTTACAAAAACTGAACATCCATCTTCTCTTGAACGCATCTTTCTGAACTTTCCATTGACTGTTTCTCAAATCCAAGTAAATGCTACAAAGCGACTCCACAAATTCCGCAATAGATATCACTTTTCAAGCGAGTTTACAGGAAACCATACTACTCGCATGCCTCCCCCATCAGTAGTATCACCGGTACACTGGTAGACGGATTCGGGTTGACAGCTGCGTCATCCTTGGATGGGAGCCCCGGAACTGAGTTCATCACTGGTTAGTGACGCTGGAAGACGTGACTCAATAACGCAATCATTAGTGTTTACGCCATAGCCTTTAATGCGTCGCTGTCGAGATTCCTTCGAATAACAGACTGGTCCAATAGGAGCTCGTTGGTTATACCATCGCTCACAATGCTGTATCTACCCTGCTCCCTTATTTTCCGGTGCCCGAAACTATAGGAGGTGCAACCCGCGTGCTGTTGGAACAAGATTCATAACTCGTAAACTGACTGACCTGCTGTCTGAGAGGGTGCCTTGTTGACTGACTGACTGATATCTTAGACTCAATATTTTCCGACGAATATTCTGGCACTTTGTCCACAATCCCCGTGCACTCTCTTGTAATGCGGTAATTCGTGGCCACATCACTTCTCTGACTCCATCACTTCCCTCTAGATATTCTATTAACATGTATCTATTCTTTATTATTACGAAACACCGTCCACGTTATGGCACCACAGAGTTATTCTGCTCGGTTGGATTGAGCATATCAAATGCGACGCGATCACTCGTTGATGCTAAACGTTATATCCCTTCGGGCTCAGTGCACAACCAGCCCAGTTGGTCGTTTAGGCGGGGTCCGTGTATGAATAGATGGGCATGGTGGAGCAGATGGTCTGAGAAATGGAACACCCTAGTTAATTCAACAATGTACGGGAGCTATTTTAGCTACCCGTAAAACGACCCAGGGAACTACCCTCTAGTGACTTGATCAATATCGATACTGGAAAACTAATGCGTAAGTAGAAGAAGCGTTTAGGTCGCAGGGTAGAATGATCCCAACAACCGCGTAGTTGGGCATTCACCTCTATGTTTTTCTTTCATTCAGTTCGCGAACTGATAACATGCCTTCCGGCCCTCAGACACCATGCATCGGGCCAGTTGAGCCAACTTTATTCAAAGACAATGGTGATCGTCTGTATTCTGCCTTCTTTAAGTATGAACTATTTTGTGAATAAGAACGCTTACAGAAAATTAGAACTAGTCTATCATTCTGCCTCTATACAAGGTAAGCAACTATTCCGATCACGGAGTTATAAGTCGTATACCTATCATAACACAGCCAATAACTTCCCTAGTACTGTGATGCTCAATTTTGGCACGTTGGGTGCAAATCTGACACCGTTTTGCATTATGTCCGATGCTTGGGCAGCTCGAAGTGTTCCGTTGATCAGCGGTCATCGCCGTCGGCTTCAAGGCTATATAGAATAACCCAACTACGGATACTCATTTACGCATGAATTTTCGTTTTTGATCAGGTGGCTGTTGGCTTATTCTCCATCTTTGACAATGGGCTTGCATACGCTTCGTCACTACTCGAGGAGACATCATCAGTGCCATTGCCTCCCACTTGCACTCTCCTATTGCACTGCTCCTATGAGGTTCGAAAACACAATTGGGAGGTGTCGGCTCCTTGAAGACAGCCGTTTCGAACGTAGTCGGTGACCATCAGAACGAACATACACGCCGCACGCGGCTGACAGTAATAATCCTATATCAAGTAACATGAATTTCCCCCACATTTTATTCGCAATTATTTCATGATGCTTTAGCGTACCAATACTCTACATCTGAAGCTCTTGAGAATTTGAAGAGTATGACCTAATCGGTTTCGCTTTTCCTTTTTAGGAGATATGTCGTTTGATATTTGTCGATTGCAAGGGATTCTTGTGGCACCGACGCTTTCGCGTTCCCCAACACATTTCTTACATCAATAGTCTCACCTACCCCTTCAATTTCCTTATAAGATTCTATCACAAATGAATTTTCATCTCCACCCTGTACAAGCTGTTCGCCTTGTCTCCCATTGGTTCTCCCACTGGAGTGATTGGGAACGTGAGGTGTTTCTTGATTCTCTCAGTTCTCTGGAACAGACTAATTGCTACCTGTCGGTTGGATCTCCAGTTCTTGATGTCGAATTAGGACTTTCCACGACTTCTGTGATGGATATGTACTTGGCCAACCTCATGCACAATGGGCTCCAGATTTTACCAGAAAGTCCAAGTCCAACTGTCTTCGAATGTCAGCTTCGGTTGTTCCAGACATGGTATCCAGAATGGCCCTTAGAACAGAAAGTCCAATTGGCTGAACATTTGAAACGGGTGCAACTTCAAGCACTGAATGATGTCCCCGGTTCCTTTGAGCCAAACCAAACCCCTTTATGACTCTGGGACACCTTGTCTTTCTAGTCGTAACAATGTCTTTGTGCTGAGGCACATGCGTTACTTACTCTTTTGTGCTTCTGCTCTTTCTCTCTCGGAAGGATATCCGTTTATGTGTCGCTGAAATGAAACAGACCGACGGTCTTGAAAACGACAGTTTATACTCAACATCCCTCAAACAGCGCAGATTTCCGTGGCCTAGTGTGTTGCAGCCGTTGTGACTATTGGGCACATACAGAAATATCACCCATCTGGTACTGTAAATAAACAGTGGGCGATGCGCTCCAATGATATTTGTATTAGATTTTTTTGTCTATGGCACTTTCAGAGTTCACAGACCCATTGCTATTCATAACCTCGCGTTGCATAGTATTTCAGTTGGAATGGACAGAAGCTGTATCACTCGATGCATGGACTCTTATTATGCACGATACAAATTGCAGAGGATTTTGGGAGGTATGCTAAAAACCTAGAAATTTCAGGGTAAACAGAAATACATTGCTACATATAAGAGCTGTAGGCCTACAAAAGATGTAACAGTAGTGAGGATTTGGTCCGTGTTTGTAAACAAAATACAAGGAAAAGTTGAGCAAATCGCCAAAAACAAATTGAAACTCTGACTAAAGGTTTCTTGCTCAAACTGCTTTAGATAAAAGGGGGAATGAGGTGCTGTATACTTCGCAATTGCCTCAGTTACAGATTATGGCAAAGGTCACCGTGCGGGGTTGTCCACTAATGCTCCACTCTACTTGAAGCTATGCTTTGAAGATCGCTAAAGGAGATGGTATCCTTTCTCAGGCAATCCAGGATATAGCGTTTCCAGCTGCACTGTGTTGACAAGTGTATAAGTTACATGCGACATTCATAGTTTGATAGAGCGTGTACATCGTGGGGAAACGGGCACAGGGCTATCTAAGATGGTTAGCTAGCCTACTTCGCGATAAAGATCCGGAAATGTCAATCTGATTGACAGTGATCAGTGAAACTTTACTGACATGTGTAAAATCACCTTTCCGAGTCGAAGTAAAGTCCCGCGTTCTGACGCTTCAGAACCGTGAATATGTCAGACTATCCAACGAAAATAAGTATAACTGTAATAATACTAATAGTAATAACTGGTCGACCGATTCACGTAAGTGTCATCTACATCCATTTATTGGATCATCAGTATATTTACATTGAGCGAAAGAAATATGGAATTACGTGACAATAAGGTATGTGGCAGAAAGGAGTTGAACAAAACCCTTCAAGAAACGTCGATGTATATCAAGAGTGGTATGGAATTTCGGAGTGCGAATTGGATGCGGTTATTGAAATCATGTTGAAGCCGAATGTGATCCGCGTTGCTATTATCTTTGGGAAGAGACACCAGGAAACCGCCCTATCGATACAGCCGAATGCATTCACGGTCAAAATGATAAACCGCGCCAGTTTGTTATTTCTGTCATGTTCCGAGTTAATCGATTGTATGTATGCGTCAAACGTGACCTTCTGGTAGGAGTCTCTGGGTGGTAGAATTGTCTTTTACATTCAAAACAATTTTCCCCGGATTTCCATGCTTGAGTTGCAGAAATGTATTTTGTTAAAATTGTTGTAAAAATTCCTTTTCGCTCCTACCCGCGAAATGAAGACAACTGTACCACAGCACCTGTAGCGATGCTGTTTGTAAAATCTTCATTAAGGCAGGTCACCAAACAACTCGATTCATAATCGGAATAACGGTAGCCCTTTCCGAAGTGTTGAGGCTACCATTTAAGTGTCTGCTAGGGTGATTGCCGTTTGGCTGTGCGTTCGTTACGTCATACCAATAGGCATCGTAGGCAAGCGGCGCAATGGTCTCTCCCCATCACCACATCCAATTCTAGTTTCCTCACCTCTGGAAATGTAATTTGCGCCTTTGTATTCTTATCAGCTAGGTACACTTTAAACTGTTTCACGTGTAAATCTACGCAACAAGTGGATAAATCGTAACAGTTCTCAGGTACTAGCGTTATGCTTGCCACTTTCTATAATGTGTTGAAATATTGGTAGTTTGGGTGGGTTTATTGGTTGTTGACCAGGTGGCTGTTGATCCGTTCGCCGAGCTTGGCAATTGACTTGCAAACGTTTCGTCACCATACGAGAAGAGATCATCAGTGCGCGCACCCAACTGCGCACTGACGGTGGAGGGTAAACGGCCTGGTTCACCAATTCTACACACTGACCTAACCGTTTATTTTTTCGATACTCGGGGTTTTTATCCGCCTCGAGCACGGTCTACCTCCGATGAGTATTTACTGCTGAAGTAGGGGGGGGGATTTACTGCAGTCACTTTTAGACGTGTACGTTGTAAGATGGACCACCAGGATACTGAAACGCCGGGAGCGGTGGGTATTGTCCCACTTATCCACCGCACAACGTCCATCCCCAAATTATTTCCTCTGCTAAGTTTTCCAGCATAGATATCAGAAACACCAACCAAAATAGGGCTTGTTTTTTATGGTTGGACGGTAGCTGCCAGTTCAGTCCCAAAGTACAGTTAGATGTATTTTCTTTAATCTTCATAAAAATTTCTGACCATTTTGGACGGCTCACTTAAAAGTGACACCTTGAGTGAACCTTCATTATGCTTGGATTCGTGGGAAGCTGTCCGGAATTAATTACGCTTCCTATTCTATTCGGAACCGGGATGAAATTCACCCCACAAATACCTCTCATTCACTGTCACAAAAATACACGAGATGTCATGAGACTACTGGATATCAGACAGACCGAACAGATGTGAATTTGAGCACTGTTTTATCTCTCCAACTTTTGACAACTGGTTGCGAAAGCGCTCTACTGAAATCAACAGCATTACCTTCACTGAATGAAATCAGAATAGTGACATGTACCATATTGTGACGACTATAACACCGGATGAATTAATAACTCAACAGCGACAAAAAGTACGAAGCAAATTTAGGACAGCAACTAATGCGTAAGTATTCTGTAGGTTTGTACAGACAACAGCAATCAGGGTATCACCTTTGAAGACCCTCGTCCCGTAGGGATCGTGTTATACGGTTCAGTAGGATACAGGGGTATATATGGGGACCTGATACTTTTTGAAGGATATTACACTTGAGGCCAGAGTCCTATTTGAAAGGGGATGACAACATACTATTCGGCAAACTGGTTGTACTTTTAACAGACTTGAGTGCGAATGGTACTCGTATTCACATCCTTAATGAAACCAGTATTTTAAACGCCATTATCACAAATCCTGTCATTGCGGCCAACAGAAATATCCACACTACATTCCTTAACTCGTCAGTACTTTTTCGTGCATCTTCGATTTTACAGCTTCGGAATTCACCCCCACTGCATGCAATTAGGACCATTAATTGGAATTTTCCTTGAAAGTTTACTAGTGTTTCCACTACTAAAGCTTCCTGCTACAACACTGGCCCGCAGAAATAAAGGAGGTTGCTAAATGATACTTTCGGAAGGATAGCCTAAAATCAATCTCTGCGAACAGACACACTTTTTCTTTCGAAGACCCAATCTTACTTGGCATGCAACGCTTCTTGATAGTCAGTCCTGTCACTGTCTCAAATGAATAGTAGATTGACTAAAAAATCTAGGATCGCTACCTAGAGCATGCATCCGAAAAGCCTCAAACAAATGAGCCCTCTCGACCTTATTCGGACACATCAGGAGCTGTGGAAAGTTCAGACGCGTGACTTGAATTTAGAGCTTTCGGGCACGACCAACTGGTTTGTACAGCTGGCGAACTGTAAGCAGTTACGGTGACAATTGGCACGCTGGTGTTTTCCATAAGATTTGCCAATCAAGTCCGCAAGTTGACTCAATGCACATCCTAGGTTGGTTCCACGTGATTTTGTCCCTGGGTTATATTTTCAGCTTCTGACATGAAACCTGAGGTGTCATGTACATCTTGTGGTCTTTCATAGGGAGATCTCAGCTAGACATGAAACCATCTCGGGATGTCTATTCGGGCAGCTTCCCAATGAGTTATTGCGACGGGATTTTTCTGTCATTCAGAATCCACGCTCTGATGCATTGGTTACTTATGTACGGTCACCAGACTGTATGGGTGCTTTCTGACTGTTTAAAAAAAAAAACAGATTAACGTGGTCGCTTCAAAGGAGACACCGATCTTATTCACGATTTAAGAATTCACCCCGCGTCCTGGATTTATCAAGTGCGTAAATAGCGAGACCGGTCCAACAGTGTATTGGTGTTTCTGACTGTTTAAAAAAAACAGATTAACGTGGTCGCTTCAAAGGAGACACCGATCTTATTCACGATTTAAGAATTCACCCCGCGTCCTGGATTTATCAAGTGCGTAAATAGCGAGACCGGTCCAACAGATTGACTGCTCTACACATAATAGAAATGACCTTGTTTTGAGTCCAACGAATTTATCCCCAAAGTATGCGCGAGGACTCCTGAGCCCTCATGCCGCCCTGAGAATAAGGTAGGTAGATGTAGACTCCGTAGGAATGTACATAGAGAGTGTGGACCTATGCCTGTTATTGTCAGGGGGACGGTAACCCGAAAACTCCACCATGCACCAGGTGAGCCGCTGTAAGTCGTGCTCTGTAAGATAGTCTTACAGAAGTGGAGTAGATCGCACAATGGCTCAGTATCTGGTGCACTTTAATTACGTAGTTGGTGAATAATAGAGAGATCACAGTTTAGCCCCGTTTCATTCTGAAAGAATAATCTGAACTCAGCCATAGTTCTGAACGGCCAGGCAAAAAGCAAGCTGCTCATCAATAGTCGTAAAACAGAGTTCGTGAAATGAAAAATCCAAGTATACTCAGCATAAGGACACCTGAAGCTGGACTCGAACCACCAAATAGCGCACCTGCAACTTCGGAAGTCGCTCCGGGGTAGGCGTTAGATAACTTAAAGTACAAAAGTGACGGACTGTCATCCACCTAGTGTTGACCTGCGGATAAGAAACTTGGTCGGTTCGGACTGAGGATATAAGGAAGATGGATATACCCGGCCATTGGTGACTGAGTTGTATACCTATAATGGAACTAGAAAGGAACGTCCAGAGCGGAGGTTGACATGCTATCCTTCGTCCAGTATCCTGGAAGCAAACGGTTTGGTCACACTTTATGAAGCGCAGATTGGATGACCCATCCAGCACTAACGATACCGCATAGGTGGTAAGCACAAATACGGATAAAAATAAACAATAATAATGACAATCGCTCAGTAGTAACACTCGTTCAGTGTCTGGCTGCCATGCCACACGAACGAAGCACGAGGTCTGAGATAGTGCCAGGCTGCCCAAGCCTAGACAGAAGCCGTCGAGATTCAGAGATTGGGTTCGAACCACGGACCTTTCGATCAGTAATTTTGCGCTCTAGCCACAGCTCCGACTATGGATTAATGCTGTAGAATTGGTTCAGAAAGCTTGGCCTTCATTTGGTCTACGAGGTTAGCCATTGGAATCAAGACTGGGTCTTTGGATGTGCACGCCTCACCCCGGATCAACGCTCCTGACAAACTACCATCCATGACACCAGTCGATCCGATCCATACATACGCAGAAATAAATAAAGACCTCCACACCCAAACCACGTGTTGACAACGCCCCGACACATGCAATGATTCACCACCTCTTAGCCAGCTGCTCGGTCTCCCTTGTTGACCCTTCGCCTTTGCGATGGCTTAACTATCCATAAGTCATCCTGCGTCAATGTCCATGAAATCAATGCTTCCCAGAGAAAGTTGGTAGTCAGCTTGAAAGTCCTCCAGTGTGCTCTTCTGTAAGAAATATGCTGAAAATTTGTTTCTGTCAAAATGAAATTGCTTTAGCTGTCGCTCTTAGACGGCCATTGTGTAATCTCAGCATCTTTTTCAACCTAAGTTACTCACATCACATGGTGCCACCGGTCTCAACCACTGTGAAATCGTCCCGCAAATTAGTATCTACTGGGTGAAACGGACGAAGGACCATTTAATGGGGGGGGGTATTTTGATGGAGGCAGTTTCATTTGCATTACTCACACTGGCAGTCATGGTTCTCTAAAAGTCGGAGAAGAGACCGACTTGGAGGGATTCCAACATGAGACAAATTACAGGGGACCAACCAAAATAGGTTTCTTCAAAGAAGTAACATTTCTGGAGACGAATGACGGTGGTGACTGACAAAACCCTTTAGTTTTGTTATTGATACCTTAGAGTTCATAACTCCACTGGGTCAAATATCAGTTAAACCTCAAAGAAAAACCACGTGTCCAACAGCACCAACAGTTTGTGCAGTTTCTCAGCATAACGGTGCTAATGTGAGTAACGTCCTGATTAGGAAAACTTAATTACTCAAAAGAATGAAACGGGATTTCTAGGCTTCATAACATTATTCAGATGCATCTGGAGAAATGTGAATCCACTGTGTTGGCTACTTGAACTACCCTTCAAAACGGTGAAGCACTTTCGCCAAACTTTAAGAGTGAAGGTGAGCAATAGGACGTCGACTGGTCTTCAAACCCAATGTCACGGGGGGCGCGGATTTGGGGCGGTGTTTTTGCATAACGCGGCTGTACTTGGAAGTAGCAACCGTATTACAGGTTAAATTTAATTCCGACTTTGTTTTTTGTTTCAACCACGAAATAATAAGAGCGAAGTGATTCCTTTTTCATCCAACCAGCGAAAAATTTGTTCACTAGCGTGTGAGCAGATTTAAGAGACGATCGACTATCCGTACGTCACAGACCGAGGTTTCTCGAGTCTGGAAGGTTAACTTCTGGGTGCTTTGTTTGTATCCCATTTCAAATAACTTAGTCCACAATGATTTTGTAAAGAATACTCAGTGCACCAAACCATTTATGTTTTTTTATTTATCAGTCTTCTCTTACATACAAAGTTTAGGCTTAGGATCCCGTGCGTCATAAGAATCCGGGAAATCAATTCTGTGGCACAAAGGAAGGGAAGTGCTGACATGTAGCGAAACTGGAATTCTAAATCTGTAGATTCATGGCGCAAGCACGTTCCAAGATCTGAAGATACCAAGATCTCCCTCCCTGATGTAGCGAGGAGAGAATAGGTGCATTTGAACCAGCAGTACCGTTGAGGCTGACACAGTCTGCAGTCAGGATTAACAGTAAATTAACAACTCAGTAGTTGAGAGCACATAACAGAGCAACACCTCGTTGAACCCAGTGTTTCGCCAGTTTGTCTGTTGGAATATCGATGGCGAAAACGAAGTTGGTTGAGTGGCCGGTTGTAGACAGAGTACCTGGAAGATTGAAAGAAAGATATCTGGGTTTTTCAAGTACTCTCCAGGGAACCGATCAAAATGGTGTGCATAACTCCAAGATCCAGTCAAAATATCACTGATTGTTCTTTATTTTCTAGTAAACTACGACTGAGTTCAACGAGTTTATGGGCACCTACATAAAAAATACTGTGTACCCGGAAAACGGACGGCAAAGGTAGCCTTTCGCTTCTTCGCTGAGTTTAGAACCAGACATTTTTCGTTATACATATATTTTTTTTCGCAAAAGTACCACAGATCAATTTTCTTTGGAACCTAACAAGCGACATATGAAGATGCAGGCAGAACGTGCCTTGAGGTGCTGACCTACCTTATTTGCTACCTTGAATGTCAGGGAACTAAAAATGACGGCAACTCTTTAAACCTTTGAATACTAACAGCCAATTCGTTCCGTTGTAATTGCAATGTTTGGCAAATACACTCAGTACCTATAAGTCTTTCGTGGGTTCAGATAAATCGTATCTGTCAGAACTCCTAACGCTGATTGGTCTCACGAATGGGATAAGTTAACTCAAATAACATATTTGGGACGTGGCAATGCGTTTCACATTCCAGATGTGGCATTTTTCTATTAGTTTTCAAGCGAATACTGAGAAATGGCGTGCTGGATTTGTGTTTCGGTGAAAAAACTCACCAGCTCGTGTAAGTGTCTTGTACACTGGACACTCATAACTGCCCTTTGTTGGAGGTTTTCTGTGTGCCACAGGAATAAGCCAGATGACAGGCATATTCACATAAAGCTCTTTCGGTCGTGATTCGCCAAGCTTGTGATTTTGCATATCCCAACGTGCTCCTTCTAGGAATAGGCCACGAATGTAACTTCCATCAGTGGGTAACTCTGTCAGTTCTGTCACTGCTTGTTTCATAACCTTGTTTAATTCAAATAAACAGTAGGATTAGCAATAAGTATATGACTTCGGGACTAGTCAGACTGCTAACGAATTCATTGCATGGGCTAAATGACTGCGGAAGAAGAAATCCTAACAGAGCCTTATTAGAATTTGTTACAATTCCATCATAGCAATCGTCCGCATGAGTGCTGTATGACAGCCAGATAAACGGATATAGCTGTCTAAGTCTGTTTGCGCCATAGAAGCTCAAAAACAAAATGTGTTGCAGAACTGAAAGGAAATGACTGCAAGCGATCGGTAAAAATAAACTTCGTTTTGCTAAATTTAGCCAATTTTCCTTCATTCACTCCATAAAACTGAATAAACAGCACAATGTTTTGGCCGAAAAACGCGTACTGATTCTCTATAACTAAGATTGCCAATTGGTCTTCGAAATATCGTTGTAATATTCCCAAACACTTTAGAGTTCTCAGTTCCACGGTGCATAAGTTTGCCTGATACCTGAAAAGTAGATGCTTAAGTGTGCTGCAGTCAGAAGTGAATGCATTCAGCTGTACCAGTACTCATTTTCACTGCGTTATGGCACCCTAGTAATGCATAAAGATGAAAGTGTATGCACTTCGTAAAATTACAGAATAAGAAACGCCTGGGATGTCTTTGGACTCAGCTGTTCAGTTGCAAAGATTTCAATCTTGGAGAATACTATATTACTCAAAATAGTCTTTCTAGTCTATTCTAGTCTAGTCTAGTCTAGTCTTTCTAGTGTTAACTGCGAAAATTCGAAGGAACCAGAAATACCAACCTAAATTAATTATTGGCAGAAGGGCAACTTTCATCCGTTCTTGTGTTATCAATCACGTGTTTCTTCCTGGTAGGTCAATCATTTCACCAGAGATTTCATTGTCAACTGATTCTGATTCATCGAGCATGTGAAAACGAAATCCGTAAAAATGTCTCCGGCCAAACCTTAAAAGATCGCCAGCTATTTGGGATAAAGCTCTGGAGAATTCGTACACCTTGAATGGGACTCGGGACTCTATTTGAAAGAAACAAAAGTCAAACTGTCAAGATTTAATCTCCTGAAGTTTGCCGGTGGCTGCTGAGACGTGTATGACACAGGGTCTTTTGAAATGTTATGAAGACGAGAACACCTCGAGTGAGGCTCTACCCAAGCCAATGACATGGTAACAACTGAGTGCTACCGTCGCCATACAGGAATCGCTGAGTGACGGTGTAGCACAGATGATATTCAGTTTCACCGTGTTAGCTTCTATGAGCCATATACCATAGAAGGAGCCTTGAACTTATAATTACAACTGATGTCAAATTAATCTGTTACCTGGAAATCGAATGATATTGTATCCACGGAGATTCTTTTTTTCCTTGCGTAATTTTGCAAAGTACCCGTAAGGAATGCCTGTGGGAAGTAGAAGCCGCTAATCCAGAACACCGGCGGGACCCCGTTGTCGATCCAGTCTTGTATGAACCGAACGCGGAGAATCAAATCCTCCACCCAGGCAGCCAGTGGTTTCAGGCTAGGATAAGCCTTGTTTGCCCAAATCGTTGGAACACGGTTGTTAAACAGGGAACCAGCCATCTCTTCAAGACTAGCGGACATGACTACCAACCCTTTGACTGCCTTGATTAGGTCGTTTAATGTTTGATGAATCACGCTGAGTAGATTGTTGTACCTAGTGGTAGAATGTGTTCAGCGTGTTACACGGTTAGGTCAATGGAAACTTCAGAGGTCTGACTCTCCAAAAATTCATTATCTTGCTCATTGACAGCAAAATTAGTGTTACATATCGATGATTCACAGCCGTGCAACCGCAACTCAGTACTGTTATTATTATTGTCTTTAATATCACTATTATTCATAAACCCTGATTGATGTTTGGCCAAGACAGATTGCTCACTGTCCCTCACTGATCTTTAAGGCTACTCTAAGTTTGTCAGGGAAATGGGGCCCGCTAACCTATACATATCATGTTCGTCCTTCATCACTCACTTTTTTTACGAAACTTTGTGCAAACAGGATATTTCTTGAAATTGGTAACCGGTCCACAGTGCCTATAACACTTGCTTGTAATCACACCTTTCTAGTTCCCTAATCGTGAACAGCATGCTAGAATTATTCGTTTCACGACTCACGTCTCGTCATCACGACAAAATGTACAAACCACACGACAGGGCTTCAAATTCTGTTTTAGAATTACACATAGTTGTGGGGTTGAAACGCAAGAGACGCTGATGTCGCCATTTTTCCCCTCAGGTTATAATGTACCGCGAAAGGCAACAAGACTTGAGCGTCGGTCAGAAGCATCTGTACGAGTGAATTCCACTGCAACACCAGAAATCTAACTATCCATGCACCAGGTTCAACTCACCGGATAACTTCTTGGGTAAGTACGGTATTCATCGACTGTTCGTACATGACTGGATATCTTTGAATGACTTCCTCCAAGTCAAATGGCTTTGGTGTTTTGGCTAACAGTGACCGGCTGATCTCCTCGACTACCTCCTCGACTTGCTGCCCTGTACTAGACCCTGTTGATGCACGGGGTTGTAGCTGGAGTAGATAGCCCAGTAATTCGAACGTCTCGTTTTGTGCAAACGTTATATTTGCATTATCGTGGAGACCGAATATTTCTGGCAGGTCATTGATCGGTAACGACTTAATGTACTCCAAATAGATCTACAAAGAAGGATTATTTTTAGACTGCAATTAACACCAGAATTCAAAGTGCTCAGTCGTGTCATAAATTATCTGTATCGTTTCCGGTGATAAAATCATGTGCTCGCAAAATATAACCAACGTCATAATCACTCATTATTAGAAGAGGATACAGAACCAACTTATTCTATCTCGCTGTGTGTGTGAATAGATTATGTTCATTTAGCTTACTTGTTAGAGTATCAATTACCATAATGACGGGGTACTTTCAGTCCTGAAAACCAATACACTTTACTGGTTTTGTCCTGATTAAGACTCATCAGATAGACATAGAAGGACTCGCATTGTCTATGGGTCCTCACTCCATGTGGCTACTAATTATACTTACACGCCAATACGAAACGAAGTAGCCAATCAAGCCTGAAAGTAAGGAATTACTTCAATTTGGAGTCATCATGCGTGCGAGTATGACTGGTTGTCATACGGTGTCGCGATCAACAGAGCAAAAGCACCACGGGACTGATCTTGTGGCATGCACCTAATGAGTCCAAAGCAGACCGGCAACGCTACCCTTATGTCGAAATCTCAAAGACTGTAGGAATCTAGGAGGGAGGTCGTTCAGCTGTAACACTCGTGTGGTGCCTGGCTGCTATGCTATTCGAAGGAAGCACGAGGGCTGGGATGTTGCCAATTGCCCAAGCCTAAACAGGGGAAGTCGAGAGGCAGAGGTCGGGTTCAAACCACAGAGCTTCCGGTTAGAGGATTCTAAGATACTCCCACGAGGGCTGGATGTTGCCAATTGCCCAAGCCTAAACAGGGGAAGTCGAGAGGCAGAGGTCGGGTTCAAACCACAGAGCTTCCGGTTAGAGGATTCTAAGATACTCCCAGATGATAGTTGGTAGCTGAAAATAGTCACTTAGCTGTTCACAAACAGAATTTCCTGATGACTCTTCGCACTCACTAAACCAACAGGTCGCTTTTATTGTGCTAATTTTAAGTACGCGCGCTATATCACTATGACACCGCTTTTTTCAGATTCTATACGCTTCGGTTTCAAAAGATATGGATAGAGAGCTATTAAGATGTCCTCCTGTAAAACGGGTCACAAGTTGTTTCATAAAAGGTGGGAAAGCAACGGATAAGTTTCTTAAGTTACCAGAAACGATGGCTTCTGTATCGATTCCAAGAGACCCCCAAGTGACTGGACATGATTTGTTTTCGTATGACACGGGATGTTAGGCTTTGCCCAATATTTTTATTAGGAGCCAGCGGGCGGAATATGTTAAGACTTGGTTAGTTGATTTTTATCGACTCCACTTCAGATTAAAAACAGGTGTCATTCAGCTCCATTTCGTGCCATTCTTATTCATCACTCAATGGTAAATTTTGGATAACAAATGGTTAACTGGCTGTTACAAGGAAACTAAGAACCAGGTCATCCGATCACGAAGGTCCATTAACACCAAAAACCTTTCTTCTCCTCTGCAGAAAAGTAGTAATGGCCTGCAACGTCGAAATTCTCCAGTTCTATGGCGAACAGTTTATGTGGCATGCGGTCCCACAAGGATGAAACTGTCAGACGCACTCAGTGTACCTCTGACTGTTATCCCCTTCATGTGGGGCATATTTTCATTCACGAATCGATATTTACCCTATATTTTCAAAATATGTTCCACGGAGATCAGTTTTAGTTGCTGATGAGTAAACCCACTCATCCAAGAGTTTTGATCTTTCCATTGGCAGTACCGTAATCGATTGTCACCGTTTCAACTGTTATCTCGGTACACATCATTTCGCATCGCTATTTGCGAAGTAATTACGAGAAATCCATAACGAATGACAAGATCAGGTAGAGAAGAATCCAGAGCATCATTAAATGACCCCAAAAACCTTTTCTATTTCATGATGGTCTGATGGATGTGCTGAACCAGATTTTTGTCCAAACCTAAACCTTCACACAAATAGTAAAATGTCGATTTGATAGAATACGTATTGTGTTCCACATACCCCATGATCTGAAGTTCCAGGAAGCTGATGATAAATGCCAGATGGAGAATAAGAATAATCGTCTTGTAGAACTCGGTTGTTGTAGTACTCATCTAAAATACTCATAGCACACCTTCGATCCCAGTCATCTGTGATTCTGCCGCCGTAGTTGATGTGTCCAGCAGTATAGCAGAGTACCTGAAAAGTGAGAATACGCGGTAGTCGTCTTCTGATGGATATAGGAACTGATCAAGAACAAACAAATGACAATTGTGTGTCAATTTTCCCTAAGACACTCTACAGATTCGCTGAAATTGCAAAGTGTTGTGAACCACCAACAGTTATTCTTTTCAGTAAGAGTCAGTTTGATGAGCAAAAGGACCACATGACTCTTGGTACAGACTCTTGACTAGCACGCAGCAGGTCCCGTTCCCATGTTCTGTGTAAATACTAATAACTTCTGGCTTGCGGAGCTCATAAATGTTATTTTGCTTGGAGTACCACAGTTCCTCAAAGACAGAAGTCTGCGATCTACTTTTCGTTAAGCGAATTCATGCAGTGACAGTATATCCTTAAACCTCAAGAGCTCCATAATAAAGATGCGAACGGGAACACTTCTCGAACTACGAACATAAAAACGTAGTTCAGGAGGTATTCAGAATCGTGTTCCAGTAAATATTACATGTTTATAGCTAGTCTAGTTACAAACTGGCCCTCCGACTCAGGTAATTAGTACTCAGAACAGCTTAGGATCACCAATAGACGCGCGTGTTCGGGTGCCGTTTGATCGACCAGAAACCATACTTGTTGTTTTCCTGGATGAACATTGTTTAGATGTTGCGGTCTGACGATCGTACAGACGTTCTAGTGCTATTGGGTGATCCTCGACCACATGTGAGTCTATATCCGTATCACCCCTCTCTGGGTACACTTCTTGTCCTGGGGTGATTAACGTTTTATACACAGACTCCACAACGCCCATCACTGACGTCTCTGAACAGCGAAAACCCGCAGCACCCCCCTACCGTTAACGGAAAGGTGTAAGATCTCCTTTTCAGGCAATATTGACTTCGCCTAGACTGGGTCATCATTTCGTCAGGGCTATAAAGCTGTGAACTTGGATCAGTATTTTCATGAATTTCACGCACTTTTTGAGTTCATTCTTTATAAAACTTGCGGTGTTTGTGGAAGAAGTTAGCTGAACTTAGCGAACTGATGGAAGAATAGGAAAGAAAGAACTTGAGATGGACCTGCAGAAGCACATACAGAAACGAAAGTAAGCAGATGGATAAATGCGATGAGCGGATGGATCTTTCTTCCAGTAAACTACGGTGCAGTAGAGTCTGCACATCAAATAACATGGGAATGGACCTCGCAGTAACCCTCCGTGGCCAACAATGGTTGTAAACGTTTGCGTGGGTTCTCTGGTGCAACCGAAGGAAAGCATTATTTACACTTGCTATCCTGGTTCCCAAGCCTCTGCGGCAACCATGGCATTCGAGTGTCTGGGTGCAAACCTTCACAAGCTTCATGCCTGAACTCAGAGGATCAATGGGCTTGCAAGAGTTTTTCCCACTGTCTTTTGAACGGCGACACATTGTTCCATAACCATGAAGTGTGTTAAGCGTTGAATGACGCAGATCAAACACGGACAAATACAAAGTAATTCGATCCCACCGAAAATACATAGTCCGTATTCGGAGTCAGACTCAAAGTATTCGCCATTCTGAACCGATTCGTCGGCAATACTATGTCACAGCTATCACATTCCGATCGACATAAAATGACTGGAACTGGAAACCAACCTTGTATGGTACCTCCATATACTCCGTCAAAAACATAATCAACTGATCCATGCAAATTCTCAGATCACCGGTGGTGAATTCGTATGGAATGTTGAATCCAAGGGGTCCGAATTTTTTTCGCTCAACCAAAACGCCATTGAAGAAAGCCAGTGAAAACAGCAACTGTCTGAATACAGAATTCTGAAACAGAAAATGTGCGCAATTTCCATTGAACAGTCGATCCCAGAATAGCTAAGAATCTTTCGCTCAATAAGAAGGTGCAAGACATATACTAGCCGCTGTCAATTCATCATAGATGTGGAATGACCGAAATCATATATCACTTTCTGATAGGAGACCTTGTTTACTAGCTGCTGGCGTTAACAATTCTCCGCAGTGCGATTTGTAACAACAGAGAAGATTTCCCACCCACTGTATTTAATGAAAAAAAATGACAAATTACGGGAAAAAGTGGGTTCCTTTTTCTCGACATTCGTAGGTTTATGGTACTGAATAATTTTTCACAAACAACCGATTTTCACGAGTTCAGCAGCTTATTTCTGGGTCGCGTTTATTGTAAATACGAGCACCTGTTGTGCGTGAAGCAATATCGCTACTTAACTCCATCTTGCTGGACTACCAACCAACTAATCCATTTATTATTTTGTAGTATCAGAACCTGTTAACTTATATCTTAACTATGAAGTTCTGTTGCCTTTCTCCAGCTTTATTGCAGTTTCCATCCTTACGCGACAACCTATTCGAGCGCCATGAAATACGTCGTCAGAGCAGCGCTCGCCTGATGTCCCTATGTATGCATCAACCAGTCTAGATTCCTCCGACCCATGTCTGCTGTGTGGTCCTGCATTACTGGGACACAAAGTGCCTCAAAAATACCTGTGACGTGCAACTGTGTGGCCAGTTGAATGATGGGAACTACGGTGTATGACACTATCGGTTATATGGCGTGGACAGATAAGATGGGCTCAGCTTCGGGTAGAGCGATCGAAACTTCGGGTGTAGAACGTTACGAAGGTGAAATGATTGCGAGCGATGGTGTATGCAAGATGTCGCCGATGTCATGCACACACCATTACTCGCAATCCTTTCACCTTCGTACCATCCTTCTGATGCCGATGTTTCGATCCTTCTACGCAAAGCTAAGCCTGTCTTATCTGTCCATGCCACAACCGAAAACTCAAGCTCAGGAACGTTTGTTTATCAGTATCTAGTCAGAGGATAATTTGGAAGAAAGTATTCAATGAGATTTTGAGTGGAAAGAATCGTTTGCTGCCTCCCTGTTCGGAACCAAGATGGCTGGTGACAGATGCAAAACTTTTATGGCTTGATGGTGGACCTAGCAGTACTGACCCACTTAACGCTCAATTTGCATGTGATATGTGGGATTACGTACAAAATGACACAATGGAGATCCATGAACGACATGTGTGAGCCGACATGATATGAGTATCGATAGTATGCACTATACGGTCACAATACCTGAGGAGGATTCGCACTGAACCTTATTGGTCAGGAATTTGTGTGCGTGTGTGATATCAGTGTCTGAGCCAAACACACTGAGTCTTTTTAAAAATTACTGACTGCCTTCACCGAAGCTAGAACGCAACTGCTGAGATGCGTCAGTTAAACACTCGTCTTTAGTGAAATGCATTCTGCTGAGATTCATACGTGTACCACGAAATGGTTCATTTCACTTCATAATGCTTCATGGGTTTTCGTTAAAATAGTGACCCCATTGTTTTTGGAAGTGTTTTCTTCGCGTCTGCAAGATGAAGGTCATACTTTCCCAGATATATATATATATATATCGTTCCATTTCAAGTGTGATTTGTCTTTTTTGAAAGCTTACAACATAATCTTGTTGCCCCAAACAGGATTATTGGTTTCCTGGTGGCTATGACTCAAAGAACCGGCAATAAGTGGTAATCTAACCTTTGAACGGATCCCTCGCAATTTCAAGTGAAATTATTATAATCCGAGTAAGTTTACTCAAAACCGAACTGATGTCGAACAATTCAAAGCATATTCATTACATTATCACGAGTAAAAAAATAGGATGTCCAGGTTTGTTGTGACAGGAAGAGGCCCATCACAATAAATGGAACTTCTCTTAAGCAGAGGTCAATTTGAGGTGGAAGCATAAGCTTACTTTATCCGGCACTTGACTTAAGTAATTATCGTTGAGACCAGTGTATGTGCGCATCAGGTGGGCTTTCATTCCTTTTGGTGGTTCAACGGTCATCTTCGATCCGTTCTGAAGGATATAAACTGGAAAGTTGGGGCTCGGCATGCTGGTTAGCCACAGACGGAAATCACGATGAACCTGAAGCGTATATTGTATAGGGGTTTAGTGAAGCGAAAAAAATAAAACGGCACATGCCAATGTGAATACCTTATGATATAACTACTAGGCCTTCTGCGGAAAAGAGAAGAGCACGATCCACCAGAAAAGCGTAGCACGTGAATTAAAATTTTTGTCCTAAGTAAGACAGTTGGAAGCTTTTTCATCCTTCTGAGCCTTCTGGAGGCGATATCGTAGCATTTTATCTGTTTGACACTCAAGACCAATGCAAAAAAGAAGTCTGGATCTCCACATGAGTCTTATGCGGAGGAGCGTCTGTATTTAAGACAGTGACCCATTGCTTTGCACCTTCTTCTACTGTAGCAAGGCCCAGGGGGTTAGAAGAGAACAAGCAATTTGCATCGATTTTGTCAGAAACGATTCGCGGTTGGTCTCAAAGTGGATTTCTGATTAATGAGGGTTATTCTTATCAAGCGTATGGGTCTAGCCTGTTTCTGATGCGGTTGATGTCGCAGCGGTGACCTTCACCTACTGACCAAGTGAACAAAACAATGTATCATCATTATCACTTACTGCAACACCAGATGAGAACACTGATTCCTCACTGCCATAGAACCATGCCAGAGCAGTACATGATATGAAGGAATTTGTAGAAGCGCCTTCGCTACCAGCAAAAACTCAACAGTTCGACTGCATCATTTCTTACGCATAGTGTGGTTAGATAACACGAATGAATGATACTCCACGGGGTTGAATAAGCTTAGAAAAGGGTAATCGGGAAATCATTAGTAGATCCTTTTTGGCAACAAAAATCTGTATCTCTGAGCTATTCTGAACGATCCACTTCTTGAATCGGACGGGTATACAGCAATAACTACCTGTTGTCTTGCAATACCAGGTCTTATTCCCCTCAGTAACAAATGAACGTGAATTACTTAGTGGGGCTGGTAAGAAACAGGGCAAAATTGTATACCCATTTACAGTGTTTGATGCTGTGTACCTCTTATGGTCAAGTGCAGACACAGAAAACAAGCTGCGATGACTGGATGCGAGAAAAGATATTGTGAACCAGCTGTGGCTGTATGGAAGTAAATATGCATGTCTCACGGACTGATTTAGATGGGGGTTTAAACAACCATAATATCCGCTTACCCTATCTTTATCAATTTGTTCCACCAACCTCTCCAAAACTGGCATCCATGATGGCGCTAGGTGACAGTTCTGGAAGAAAACCCAAATGCCACGGTCCATGGCGGCTCTCATGAGTTCTTCGGCTCGGGGCCCTTGACCTTGACCAAGTGAGATGGCAGAAAGTTTTTTCCCACCAAAACGCATCTCATCGGCAAATTTATACAAATCCGAGGCTGGATCGGTACCCTAAACAACAGAAGAAAAATAGCAGAAATAAACACTCCTAACAAAGGCTAGCGAAAGGTGGTAAAGAAACTGAGTCAACTAGAATGTCACTGATTGCTATTCCTTCCTATCGCTTTGGAACTCTTTGCACTCACGTGATGTTCCGAATTCGGTTGAATTCACACTACTCATTAGTGAGTGTGAACAGAAACACCGGTTAAAGTGCACACTTCCACGATTTGCCTTCCTAGATGGTTACTGGAAAAACCTGGGGGAGAAAACCTGGCATTCGCGTTGATACCACTTTCATGAGCCACAAAGTTATAGTCAACGATAGTAGTCCGAAACATTGATCGAATCATCATTACTAGGATACTCCGGTGTGTGGTTAACGCCAAATTAACGCTTTGGTCTCATTACAGTTGCGCTTTACTCAGGGTTATTACGATCATGTTTTACTATAGTTAAGTGATTTTATTAACATTAAAGTTGACAATATCCCCAGAAATCGGTATGCAGATATCAGAATAGAGATCGAGCATTTGGAAACTCGCTACGAAAATAGTCTCCTTAGTTCTTCGGCCTTACGTAAACACCAAGGAGGAATGACAGGTCACTCCTTTCAACAGGCAGTTGGTTCCTGGAGTTTCGAGCTTTTAAAGTACATAATGTTTGCGTTTTATGGGACAAAATTTCTCTTTACGAGCCTGCTTGCAGCGATGGTATCGACTGTCCCCATGTTACCATCGAACAGCCATACGATAGCGTATTCCCCAATACCGATGGACACATTTTTGAACGTGGTAATCTGAAGCAAAGATGCCTTCTCCCTGATAAATCCAATTTCTACAACACTTCATCAAATGTGTGTTGATTGCAGGGCAGATGGGAAACAAGATTCACGGTTAAAATATACGCGCCCTGTTTCAAAATAATTTATTACAACGGCAACCAAAACTGTGGGCATGGTACCTGTAAAATGAATCCGCCAACCCTGTTTAGTAGTCACGATGAATGTCGGTATGTGTTCACAGTTCATAATATGAAAGAACTCCATGTTGCAAGAGCAGTCTCGTTTTCCCAATATCCAGATGAGGCGTCACACTCTCAAAGATGCTGTTGGTGTCAGTAGATTTTGTAACTTTCAATGGATATTTCGTTCCGTAGGTGAACCCAATCCACGTTGAGAAGCCGAAAAGTACTACATGACTACTTATAGCTTAGACGGTAGAATAACACACATTGCGTGAACCTCCCATCTGAGAGTTCGTCACTCAAGCAGTAAGTCAACACGTAACCAGGTGATGTGGATTCTGTGATTGAAGGATAAGTGGTGATATGTCCCTTATAAGTGCGTGCAC